TGGTTCTGGTTTATCACACCCTAAGTGAGACAACCATGGCTGCATTGGCACAAAGCGGAGGGGGACTTTTACCCTCTCGATGGGCTGCTGTAGCTCTACTAACCCAGGAGATGTACTTGACATCTTCCCTTCCCTCATGCTCATATCCAGACCTAGTCAAGTCCTCTGAGTTTAGCCTTCAATGTCACTCTCCTCTCTCCAGTCTAAGCTGTCATCACCTCTTGCTTGGACCAGTGTGGTAGCTTCTTCACTGCCCCCCACCACCACCCCGCCCTATAATCTACTTTTCACGCTGTGTCAGAAGTCATCTTTTTACAATGTGAATGTGTTCTCATGGCACCCACTGCTAAAAATGCTTCACCTTCAAGCACATCTTGTTCCACACCATGCTCTCCAGCCTTGACCCTGGCAAGCATTCTCCGGAACCCCAGACCCTCCTTGTTCAGTTCACTGTTTTTCTCCCTTCAGGCTCCCGCTCATCTGTCAACTTGCTCAGGGAGCTCTGCCTTATCTCCTTGCCAAGGCTAGATTGCTGGGTTACAAGCTCTCTAGCAACACAGCCTTTTCCCTTGCACATCGCTGAGCACCTCTAACTTTCATTTCTGTGATGGCTTGGTTAACATCTGCCTCCGCCACCATCCTGTAATGGGGCATGCACACTGGCTGGTGAGGGTAGGGCTGATCTGTGGCACTTGCAAATTCCCACAGTGTAAATGCAACCACCTTGGAAGATTTCAAGATACCAACAACGGCGCCTTGCAAAATCCCTGAAAATGCAATAATCGGCTGTCATGAGCTAGTGTGAGCCAGCTCGAGCATACCATTGAGGTGAGGCTTATATCTGGTGTTGCTCCCTAGTGACCGATATTGCATCCGGAAAATCATTAAAGAGCCAAAGCAAGGCCGGGCATGGTGGATTACGCCTGTAATTCTACCACTTTGGGAAGCTGAGGCAGGCAGATCACTTGAGGTCAGGAGTTTGAGACCAGCCTGGCCAACATGGTAAAATCCCATCTCTAATAAAAATACAAAAAAAAAGAAAGAAAAAAAAAAGAACCAAAGCATTTGGTAAATGAATGAATGAATGAATGAGCAATGGTGAAGTTCCAATGAGCCTCAGGACAGCAACTGCTGTTTCCAGAAGATGGAAGACATTGAGTGCTTGCCCCAAGAAAGGAATAAGGGAGCCATGACATTTCTGTCCTCTGAAGACTGCTTATAACAAACATGTCTATCAGGCACAAATTCAAGTGCTTTACAAATACTAACCCACTCAATCCTTATGACAACTAAAAGGCAGATACTATTACTACCCTGGTTTTACAGCTAAGGAAACGGAAACTCAGAGACATGAAGTCATTTTCCAAGGTCATTTGGAGTTGGCTTTGAAACCAGGTAGTGTCACTGCAGAACCAACATTCTTACCCACTGTGCTGTGTTGCATTAGGGCCAGCCCTGGGGATAAGATGTGTGTTCCATTTGTGTCCCAATCCCTGTATATCGACCCCACAATCAGTGTGTGCTCTTCAGCCCACTGTCCCTCAACAAAGAAATGAAGTGGCAAAGGTCTAGAGATGAGGTCCTGCAATGATGAAGCAGATGTGGACTCTTCTGGAGAAGGACAGAGTAAAAAGATCAAGGCTTTTCAAGGGCCATATAATAACCAAGGAGATGGACTTTAAATATTTACTTACTAAATTCAAATAGGAAATTGACCTGGCTAACTTTTACAAAGGGAACCATTCAAACCTGAGAGGTGAGTTTGCAACATTAGTATTTGTACAATGTTCTTCCCTGCACGTGATCTCATTTTGCCTTGATGACCACCCTGGGACATGGGAATAATTGTGCTCATTTGAATAAAATGAGGACACCAGAGCTCAGAGAGATTGGGTGATGTACCCAACGCCACAAAACCATCCATCAGCAGAACTGGGCCTGGGTCCCAGACCAGATGATGGCCAGCCCCAGCCCTCTGTTGCTGGTTCAGTGTTACTTCCCAAGCAGGTCTGGTAGAATCACAGCTGCTCAGAGGAAGTCAATTCCTGGAGCTAATTATGCTGAGCGCCAGCAGAAAGCGAAAATGTAATTAGTTTCAAAGGAGCTTTGTACAGATTCTGGAGCGACAGCCTAATATTGCAATAGTAAGATTCAGGAATATGTCTAACTTTTGATGTACTTGTTCATTTAACAAATTGGCTCCTAGCTACTATGTGCCTACTCTGCATAAGGATCATTGGGGTTGAAGGTAAATTCCTTCCTTTATTCTATATACGGCATTGAGGATCATCCAAAAGAAAACAAAAATAATGATGTCTTAGTGTGGGAGAAAAATGGCATTCAAAAATGGTAGAAGGAAAGGTTGGGACCATTTGATTGAGGGGGAATTTTGAATATTGGGGCCAGGAATTTGGTTTTATCCTGTAGGAAAAGGAAGTCCAATGAAGGTTTTTTTTGTTTGTTTTTGCAGTCAGGATCTTGTGCTGCGCTCCAGATTGGAATGCAGTGACATGATCATGGCTCACTGCAACTTCGAACTCCTGGGGGAGTTCAAGCTTATGCCATCCTCCTGCCTCAGCCTCCTGAGTAATTGAGACTATAGGTGTGCACTACCACATCTGGCTACGTATTTTATTTTATTTTAATTTTAAAGATAGGGTCTTGCTACGTTGGCCCCCCATTAGGGCTTTTAAGCAAGGGAATGAACTAACCATCCTCCTCCTCCTCACAATACAAACAATAGCTACTGGCCAAGCGTGGTGGCTCACGCCTGTAATCCTAGCACTTTGGGAGGCTGAGGCGGGCAGATCACCTGAGGTCAGGAGTTCAAGACCAGCCTGGCCAACATGGTGAAACCCTGTCTCTACTAAAAATACAAAAATTAGCTGGGTGTGGTGGTGGACACCTGTAATCCCAGCTACTCGGGAGGCTGAGGCAGGAGAATTGCTTGAACCTGGGAGGTGGAGGTTGCAGTGAGTCAAGATTGTGCTATTGTACTCCAGCCTGGGTGACAGAGTGAGACTCCATCTTTTAAAAAATAGAGATAATAAATAACAATAATAGCTACTGTTCACAGAGCTCCTGCTGAAGCTTTTAACCCTCACACCCACCCTATGAGGTCAGAACGCATGTGAAGCCCACTTAACAGGTGAGAAGCGTGAGGCAAAGAGGTAACAGAGCACCTAAGGGGCAGAGCTTGGATGCGAAGCCACATCGATCTGAATTCAGTATACTCTCACCCTGAACACCGCAGTATCTTTGCTTTTAAACGTAACCTGGGCAGCACATGGGGACAGAGGTTTGGGAGGCACCCACATTTAGTTCAGTGGTTCAAGATATGAGAAAGGCTGAATTTAAGGAGAGAGAAAGGAGAACCAGAGAAGCAGGGAGAGAAACGGTAGCTGTGTCAGGCAATGCCAAGAAAACCACACCAGTGGGAATTTTAAGAAGCAAAGGAGGGAGCAACGGTGCAGAAAGTTACCTAGAGGCCAGGCAGGATGGGGATGGAAAAGGAACCGCAGAATTTGCCAAACTGAGAGGGCGTCCAGGACTTCACAGCATTTTCAGAGGAGTGGTGGGGGTGGGTGCCAGATTGCCGTAGGCTGAGGAACGCGTGGGAGGTGAAGACAGGGCTGGCAGCCTGTCAACTTACTCTTTCAAGAAATATGATAGTGGGGGGGGAGGGGAAAAGGGAAGATGGTGGAAGGAAAGGCTTTCTGGGGAGATGGAGGTTGGGAGAGACTTGAGCAGTTGTGAGCCACAACGAAAGGAGAAGCTGAAGGCAAGAGTTTGAAGCCTACAAGGCAGGGAGCCTGTCCCTAAGAGAGGTCCAGAGGGAGGTCCAAGGAACAGATGGAGAGCAGAGCTGGTGGGGGCTCATGTGGCTGGACTTCTCCAGGCCTGTGCAATGGAAGAGGTGGAAGTATCCATCTCTGTGGCCCCTAGCAGCTTTAATAGTCTTTCCTTCTTCCCCTTTTCCTCTTCCTTCCTTCCTTCCTCTCTAGCCACAAATATTTATTGAGCACATACTATGCACCAAGTCTTGTGCTAGGTTCTGTGGCTATTATAATGAACAGGACAGTGTATATCATCCTTACAAATGAGGAGACAAATATTATACAAGAAGATGGACAAATGTGTGTATGTCTACACGTTGTATAATACTAAAGTGGGCAATGTTCATTGGGCACTTTCAAGGTATCAAGACCTTTATAAGCATTTAATAACCTTTTACCTAAAAATCCATCCCCTACATTAAAACCTACAAGACCCTACTGGTATTACCTTTTGCAGACCAGGAAACTGAGGCACAGAGGGATCAGATGACTGACCAAAATCACACAATTTAGATTTACCTGTTTCTAGACACAAGCACTTAACTGCCACCCGGTCCTGACTATGTTGAGAGCTGCGGACACCAGTATGAACAAGACCTGCAGGGTGTCTAGGGCTGGGAAGAAGCCACAAGTTCATTTACACCCTTTCCCTCGAGGTGTGGTCCCTGGACCAGACATAATGGCATCACTGGGGAGCTCGTCAGACACGCAGGCTCTTCAGCCTACTGTGATCTACTAGACCGTGATGTGTAGTTTAAACATGACCCGCAGGTGTCTGGTGTGTAAGTTCAAGTTGGAGAAGTCTGGTCTAGAGCCCATTCCTCTTATTAGAGACGGGAAACTGAGGCCCAAGCATTTGAAGGTTATGGACGGTGGTAGAACTTTGGCGTTTGGTGAGTGGTGCCAGCCTAGGCCTAAATGGGCGCTTCCACTCTTGTCCCAGCAGGTCAGTGGGTAGGGCTGCGGGAAGGATGGGCGCTGCAGGGGCTCGGCGCGCACAAGGTGCTCGCGGGCTCTCTGGCCCAGCCGGGCTGGGGTGGCGTGGGCGTCCTGCGGGCCGGGCCTCCGCGCCGCGCCGCGTCCCAGTCCCCGTCTCCGCGCTGGCCTGGCCCGGTCCCTCAGCTCCACCCCCTGCCTCCCCCTCCCGCCTGCTCGCGCCTCCTGAAAAGCCAGCCCGCCCGGGGCGGCGGCGCAGAGCCGGGCCGGCGCACGAGGCAGCCAGCGCGGCCATGACGGCGGAGAAGGCGCTGCCCCTGGGCAATGGGAAGGCTGCAGAGGAGGCGCGGGAGTCCGAGGCGCCGGGTGGCAGCGGCAGCAGCGGGGGCGCGGCGCCCGCGCGCGACCCGCGCGACAAGCGCGACAAGGCGGTCCACGAGCGCGGCCACTGGAACAACAAGGTTGAGTTCGTGCTGAGCGTGGCCGGGGAGATCATTGGGCTGGGCAACGTGTGGCGCTTCCCCTACCTGTGCTACAAGAACGGAGGAGGTGAGGTGATAGGGAGGAGAAGGGGAGGTGGCGCCACCCGCCCGGTGGGGGCGGGGAACCAGGGGCTAGCGCGAGACCCCCTCCCGCGCCTGCGTGGAGCGGAACCCGAGCGGAGAACCTCGACTCCAGGCACCTGGCGCTTGAGCTCGCTCCGGAGCGCGGCCCACCTGTGCCAGTGCGCACGCGCACGTGCCAATTCGCACCTGAGGGTTCCACCGGCTAGCGCGGGGACTTGCCCGCGTTCTGTCCTCAGCGTGAGATGCAGAGCGAGGCCAGGGAGCCCTTGCTTTGGGTACGCGCCCTGATGTTTCAGGCACTTGGCCCCTTTGAGCCTCAGCTTTCCTAACTGGGAAAAAGGCCTGTGGAGAAGGGACTCCTGATGATCAAAGTGGTCTCAGTTTTTGCGCGCTTACTGAAGTGCCGAGCACCTTTGACCTATATCATCTCATCTCATCCTCTCGGTCACTTTCGTAGGCAGGGGTCTACCCATTTTGCAGATGAGGACACTGAGGGTCAGAGAAGTCTCACTCGACCAAAAATAAAGATGGGATTCTGATGTCAAAGGCCTTGTTTTAAACTGGAACTGGACTCATCACAGGGAGAACTTTTAGGCGAGGCATTGCTCGATGGTTTCCTGCCTAGTCTTTCGTCTACTCTTAAGCCCATTTTAGGGCCACTATTTGGGGCCCCTCTGGTGGAAGAATTGGCAACAAACAGTTTATTTTACGGGTCTGAGAGTCACCCACGACAAACAGCAACACTGGTTTAATGCTGATGCTCTGCCGTAGAGATGTAGAAGGGCAGAGGGAAAGGATGGTGACGAGAGAGTCCTTTCTAGTGACAGCCTCTCAAAGTCAGTTTGACAAAAGATGCAGCAGCGAATCCGTAACTCTCCCAGCTCAGGGAAGGGGCTCCAGCCTTCAGGACCCCCTCCTGTCATATCAGCAGGACAGCTGGGCTGGGCCATGGCAAGGGATCTTATAAAACCTCCTTCGGTGGCACAGTTTCTCCAAGGAAGAGCCTGTATCTGTATATTCCCTCTTCTCTTTCCTGTGCCCCTGCCCCTCCAGCAAATTCCCAAACCCCAGCGAAGGTGGCTCAGAAGTTGGCTGGCAGGGACCGCGTTGTCTGAGCAGAGCAGGACTTCCTGTGCGAGCAGCTGCCGGGAGAGCGAGAAGGGTACTGCTTGGCCCAGGCCCTTTCTTTGGGGACATTCATCCTGAAGGCACAGGCTGCTCCAAGCCTGCTCTGCACTGGTAATGAAGTGGCCGCCGGTGTTGATGGCTTGGCAAGGGAGAGAGAGGGAGTGGACTTGGAGACCCCCAACGTGCCCTGTGCTCTCGGCTCTGAATCCCGCCTCTCTTTGCAGATTCAGCGTTTGTAAACTGCGTCCTCTTGGAAACCTGTGGAAATCTAGGGTAGTCCCCAGGCACAAATTGTTTTAACATCTTTTTTTTCCATACAGGAAATGTTGTGCCCAAACAAAAAGCTTTCCTAAAAGCAGAAAACAGGGTAAATTGGGTTAATTACAAATTCTGTCACAGATTTTTTTTTTCTTAAAAAAAAAAGGGTTGTAGTGAGTAAAGTTTTTAAAATGAGTCACTTTTTTTTTCTTCTGACTTGTCAAGAGTTTCCATGAGATGCATAGATCTCCTGGTTTGATTGAGTTTATTATCCTAAGGATTAGTAGCTTTGTGAATACACAGGTCAAAAGGCTTTCCGAAAGTGTCATACGTTATACGTTAGATTCTAGAGGTTTCACAGGTAAATAACAGCATGTTAGGGGACCTGCTGCAACTGATTTTAATCACTTAGATTTAGATTCAGTAAACAGATCCTCTTATCTCCTTTTCCACACTTTTTGCTTTCTAATGTAGTTGGGATATCTGCTTCTCAACTGTTTACCTTTTAAAAAAAAAAGTCCATTCTGCCCTCCTTATAAATCCCAACAATAGTTTAAAGTATTTATTTCCCAATATGAAACTTTAAATTAGCTGCTTGCCCAGAAAAGCTAAGACACTTTCAAACGCTGATAGATACGGTCCTGCTATCAGGATTGATCAAAATTGTTGCTATTAATCCTTGCAGTTAAGGAGACTTCATTTAGCAAAAAGCACTTTCAGTTAAAGCCTTCATTTGTGAGATCAGATGGTAGCAAATAGCATGTGTTTCCATGCTTTGTTATTAGACAGGAGGGACAGAATGAGGGATTTGGAAAAATCCCCATTCTGGGTGTAATAGTTCATGCTCACCTCAGTTATTTAATTTGTTTCACAGAAAGACCCAGGCAATGGGTATTGTGTTTCAAATAGAAACACTAATGCTTAGGGTGGTCTCTTCCTGGACCAATTCAAAGCCAGCCTTTGCTAGATAGATTCTTTTTGCAGACTCCTTGCAAGTTGACACCACACCTGGGCCTCATGTGTAGGGGTACTTAATTCTTTGAGGCCTGATATTGTTCATTGTATAATTCCCTGAGAATGCTCTTTATGACAAAGATTGTTTGCAGGTCACTTCCAAAGTAAGAGGAAGGGGTGCCCCTCACCTGGTCTGTTGAGGTCACTTTAAAATGAAAAAGGGTGCAACATTCAGGAAAGGAATGAATTTGACCCATGCTGGAGGATGAGATGTAATTTTTTTTTTAATGAGCCAATGAAACAATTTCTTTTACATTATCATCTTAGCTGCATTACAATTCTATGAGGGAAGCAGTGCAGATGTTAAAAACTGAAGCTCCATTTTACAGATGGAGAAGTTGAGGCTTGGAGATGTGAGGTGGACTCACATAAACCTAGCCCTGTTTTCTGACTCTGGTCCTCATAATGGGAACTTGAATTCAAGTTCAAAGAACATCATGTCTGGCCTGTAGTAGGTGTTTATTAAAGAGTTCTTGTGGCCGGGCGCGGTGGCTCAAGCCTGTAATCCCAGCACTTTGGGAGGCCGAGGCGGGCGGATCACGAGGTCAGGAGATCGAGACCATCCTGGCTAACACGGTGAAACCCCGTCTCTACTAAAAATACAAAAAGAAATTAGCCGGGCGTGGTGGCGGGTGCCTGTAGTCCCAGCTACTCCGGAGGCTGAGGCAGGAGAATGGCATGACCCCGGGAGGCGGAGCTTGCAGTGAGCCGAGATCGCGCCACTGCACTCCAGTCTGGGCGACAGAGCGAGACTCCGTCTCAAAAAAAAAAAAAAAAAAAGAGTTCTTGTGCCAAGTATGAAACGGCAGGGACAGTTTTCATCTCATTCCTTTGCATCCTTACAGGGGCATTCCTGATTCCCTACGTGGTGTTTTTTATTTGCTGTGGAATTCCTGTTTTTTTCCTGGAGACAGCTCTGGGGCAGTTCACAAGTGAAGGTGGCATTACGTGTTGGAGGAAAGTTTGCCCTTTATTTGAAGGTATGTGTTGAGTTAATGAGAAAATAAAATTTTGCACAGGGAATGTAAACTGCAAAGGCAGATTGTTTTGAAAAGATAGACTCAAGTTGCTTCCTTTCTTTTGTCCCTTCAGGCATTGGCTATGCAACGCAGGTGATTGAGGCCCATCTGAATGTGTACTACATCATCATCCTGGCATGGGCCATTTTTTACCTGAGCAACTGCTTCACTACTGAGCTACCCTGGGCTACCTGTGGGCATGAGTGGAACACAGGTATGGCCCCACGGAGGTCTCTCTGCTGGTCCTGCTGGGTGACCTGGGATTGGGGTTTGTTTGTGCCCTCAGGCCAGTCCTGGTCCCTGGCCTCTCATCAAGAGTCTAGTTTTCTAGGGTAGTCTTGCTGAAACAGGGGTCAGCTCTGCACCTGTTCTGGTACGTTCTGTGAGTTGCAGCCCTAAAGGCTGAGCTGAGCATTGGCCCATAGACTGGCATGGTTAGGAGAATGGAGATGTTCTGTCTTCTGTCAAACGCAGAGACTGAACCCTTTGGGGGTAGCATGGGGGTGTGAGGAAGAACACTAGACTTAGACTTAGGGGACTAGAGCTCCAATACCAGTCTTGCCTCTAGTGTCAAGTTTTCCCCTATAAAACTGGGGTTAGACCAGATCAAGGGCTGCAGACAGAGGACCTACAGGCCAACCAGGCTTTAGATCAGTGAATGGCAAACTTAAAAAATGGATTTGGTTGCCAAAATTTAAAAAGTTGGAAGACTTCACCTGAAAAATTCAGGTTTCCAGCCTATCTTAAAAACTTAAACAATCTGGTGACACCAGACCCACTTTCCTGCTTGACGGCAGTGGCTACAGCCAAAAGGTGGCTATTGCCTTCAATGACAAATCTGTCATTGAGTTACCACAAACCCCACCCAGCTCACTTTATTCATTTACTTTATCAATCCAACCCAGCTGACATTTGAATTTAACCCCCAACCCCACTCCTGCTGGAATGGATAATCTTTTAGATTATTTTTGATTCCGATATATTCTTTGTTTTTCCATATATCCTCCTATTAGCATTGAGTTTGATAATCCAAGGAAGGCATTTCCCTGCCCAATCCCTGTCTAAGCTGGCCATACTCACGGAAGACATCGCTAATCAATTGTAGCACTCTTTCCTTCTCAGTCTAGTCTTGGCCTTAGAACCCTTCTCCAATAGTGCTCCAGACAGCTGCTGCCTTTTGACTGGAATTCGCACATACACTTTGACCTGTTCACCATCCATATGATAACCTGTGTTAGATTGTGTCTGGAAGTGGCCTGCCATCCTGAGGGCTGAGATCCAGTAAGATTGGGTAGGATGTTGGTGACCAGTAGAAGGAACCGCAGGTGGTAGACCTAGAGATGCTGCAGTGTGGCTTCTAGCCCTATGCAATGCCTGACTCTGCCCTACTCCCCCACTCCCCCAACCCCTGGCTGTTGCATTTTGTGGAGCTTTTGCTGTTTCTCTCTTTAGGGCCCTAGTTTTTAACCTTCCTTTGGCCAGGGAACTCATAGAAATGTTTATCAAACTATAATTCAAGGACATTTTCTTGGAGGCCTGTGAGTCCTCTAGGATAATTTAATTGTGTGTACTTATTTTGAGGATACTCTAAAAATATGCACATGTTCTGGATGGTCTGAGCAAACACCTTATAACTGAGGACAGTCAGGAGGTTCCAGTGGCTTACTTTATGCATGTTTATAATTTAAGATGCATTCGTGTCAAATAGAATGATGGTGGCCAAGGGAAAAAGACCAGAAAGATTTAATTCATAAATAGAGCATTATTACTAAGTGAAGTCCAGTTGAGAATGCAACACACCATGGGAATGAAGGTTTTGCAGAAGTGTAACCAGAGGAAAATGGTGTAATCAAATCTCAAATAGTTCACGGAGGAATAAACCACCTGAACTCAACAGATTCTGCTTCTTATGTGTCAGTTTCATTTTTCTGTTGGGAAAGCAATATAATTTTACCAAATGGCATTATCCTATGCATCTATTTTCTGTTATCACTTTAAATTGTGTTGGTTCTGTAGTTTGCTTGGTATTTAATTTATACATTTAATTTGGCTTTTATAATTGTATGAATACTACAATCACAAAGACTTTATAACTCATTGTTTATTTGTACGTGGTTAAATATTTTAATAAAAATAATTGGTCAACTTGGGTGTCCAAGAAATTTTTTTTTTAATCTAGGAAGAAAAAAAGAATTGAGAAATCCTATTTTAGGGAATCTGATAAAAGTCAAGGTCTCCTCTCTCCAGAAAAAGGCACAGGACACATTCAGAAATCTTGCTTATAATTTCAGGTTTCCAGGCTCCTCTCAAGCCTGACTGAGGACCCACAGACCACCTCCTTTCAGAACATAGGTAGCGCTTGCCAAGAGGATCAACAAGCAGGCAGACAATCTGGATTTTCCCCAGTGGACTGCAAACCTCTTTCTTCAAATGGTTTGCAATCCCCTTTCTCTAAAGGTGTGTGAACACTTGCAATGTGTGAACCATCACATATAGGAGGTGATTCCTGCCTGCAGAGATTACAGATGTGATTTGGAGCATTCATACGTATGTGAGATGGAAGACATGCAAGAGTGAAGCCAACCGGGCACCTGCTCCGTGCTGGCCATGGTGCAGGGTGCAGGGGCCTCTGAGGTGAATGGATACAGGAGGCCTTGCCCTCGGGGAGCTCATGGTCTGGTGCCCCAGGTGTCTCTAAACAGAGGGACATGGGTCCCATGGTGGTGGACTTTTCTGGGCAATACCCATGGCAAAGTAGATGGAGCCCTGGCTGGAGTTTATTTCAGTTCTATCCACAACTGGTCAGTGACTTTATATAGGAGGAAAAGGGTATAGGTGGGGGTCCCTTGACTATTTCTGAACCTTAGATTCTTCTTCCTCAAAATAAAGGGAGTTGGAGCAGGTGATTCCTTGGAGGGCCTTTGAATTCTTGCTTTCTTAGATTTCAGGGGAGGGAGGTTGGGGAAGCCCTCCTGGAGGGAGGGGTTAAGGCCCAGGGGCACTGGGCCTTGAAGGATGAATACTAGGTTGCTTTTACTTGAGATTAAATCTCCCTGGGACATCAAATTTCATGAAATGAGAAGAGGCATTCAGTAAATCCTTTCTGATTGACTGGATCGAGTGAGGGAATGATGAAGAAACCAGGGATTCTTGATATATGTTGGCTCACACCATTTCCTCCAATCATCACATTTTGATGAGACAGCTGTGGCATTAGCCCCTTTTCACATAAAGTAAAACAGTCTCAGCTGCATTACTGCCCCAAGATCACCATGGATGATCCATTCCTTTAGTCCTTCTATTCCACTAGAGCCCTTCAGCCAGACAACTAAATGCTACTGATGGGCCTCAGACAGGGAAGTGGAAAAAAGAAAAGAAGATTTGGGAACAAGGGTAGAGGAGACGGTTTGATAGGGAGTGTTGGTTGGGAATGGGAGAGAGAAGGTCCCCTTCCCCATAAACTTTTCCTCCTGTTCTAATCAGTCCAAACCTCTTAACTGTTTGTAAAATACTGATTTTCCCCAATGCCCTTTGACGCATGTTTACTTGGAGCGGCTACATGAAAATGCCTAGTTGCACATCCTGAATGTTTTTCAGGATTCAACTTTCATGGAGGTTAATTTTCTTCTATTTCTTGTCTGTTTCCACTGTAGAGAATTGTGTGGAGTTCCAGAAACTGAATGTGAGCAACTACAGCCATGTGTCTCTGCAGAATGCCACCTCCCCCGTCATGGAGTTTTGGGAGTAAGTGGAGAAGAACTTGTCTCCTTTGGCCTGTGGGGGCTCTGTCCTGGTTCTGCTCACTTGGTCTTGCCCGTATTCCTGGAAAAAGCGTGATCCTTCATTCCAGCCTGGCACTTCCTGGCTTCTGTGAGCATTCGACGGCTTCGGAAGCAAGAGTGCATATCTTCAGAGGTTTCCCAAAGGGGCAGCTGAGAGAATTGTTTTCTTGTTCTTTGATAACATGTCAGCGTGCGTAGTTGCTTATTAGGGCAGGAAGTGCTTAGTGAAAGGATAGACAGTTTAAAAATTCATTTTGAGCAAAAGAAGAGATGCAGCCTGTTTGCAATAAGCTAAGTCAAGAGTGTATTTAGCCTGGAAAGCGTAAATCTCTAGGGGGGATGGATTAGCTTTCTTTCAGTAGCTGAATTGTCATATGGAAAGGAAGGAGATCAACTTTAATGGATAGAGATTATAAAGAAGCAGGTTTTAAATGTGCATAGGGAAGAGCTTGGTCTCACAGCATTGCATTGTCTGGAAGTACTTCAGAAGATTGTGAGCACCAGTCCCTGGAAGTTGACCAGTATAGGGTTGCCAATCATTGTTGGGGGTGTGTCTGAATCCACTGAAATTGTAAGTAGTACTTGTGTGGATGGGCATTTTCCCAGAAATTGGCCTAGTTTTATCAGAGTTCCAAAGGATCTGTGACCCTCACAGGTCTGCCGAGTGGGGTTGTGTACACTGCACACTGAACAACCCAAGGGGTCATAATTTACATTATGAAATATACATTCCAGAATTGTGTGGTGCCCGACCTGTATAACCATACGCAGTGGCCCTGACTTGCAAGTTTGTTATAAAGGTAGAAGGATCCCTTGCCCCAGGTATTGGAGAGAAGTTTCCTGTATGGGTCAAAGGCTGGACTAAATGCTTTCTGAAGCTTTGCAATCTAAAAAGTCCTGGCTTCATTGAAGAAGCCTCCATTACTCTGATGATGATTAATACTAGTGTATGTGTGTGTGGTGGGGCAGTGATTTATGAGTGATTTTTATTCTTTTCCCAGATACCATTCATCTCCTGCCCTCTCTAGAGGTCATTATGCTGAATTTAGATTTACCACTCTCATGTACATCTTTATACTGGCGTATATATCTCCCAAATAGCACCTAGGTATTTCTTGCATATTTTTCAAATTTTATGTTACTAGTATCTATTACTTACATTTTCTATAACAACTTTATTTCTTTTCTCAATATTGGTTCTTAGATGTATCCATATTGGCACATGTAGCTTTGGTTCTTTCATTTTTCTACCAGAGTATTTCATTGTATGAATGGCCTATATTGTATTTATCCAGGTCCTCTGATGGGCATTTAGACTATTGCCCATTTCTCACTATTATTAAGTACACTGAGTAAAAATGTCTAGTCTGTTCTTCCTTGAGTGGAATTGCTGGGTTGTGGCATACATGCGTTGTCAGTTTTATCATATAATGTAAAATTGCTTTAGAAAGAAATTAATCTAGGCCAGGCATGGAGGCTCACATCTGTAATCCCAGCACTTTGGAAGGCCTAGGTGGGCGGATCACCTGAGGTCAGGAGTTTGAGGCCAGCCTGGCCAACATGGTGAAACCCTGTCTTTGCTAAAAATACAAAAATTAGCTGGGTGTGGTGGTTCATGCCTGTAATCCCATCTACTCAGGAGGTTGAGGCAGGAGAATCGCTTGAATATGGAAGGCGAAGGTTGCAGTGAGCTGAGATCACGCCACTGCACTCTAGCCTGGGCGACAGAGCAAGACTCTGTCTCAAAAAAAAAAAAAAAAAAAAATTAATCTAATACACTCCAAACAAGAGTTTGTGAGAATATCTATAGCTTCACATTTTGGACAGCACTTGGTCTGTTCAGTTTTTGTTTTGCCAGTGTAATGGGCATTAAATGATATCTTAATTCACATTTCTGTGATTACTTGTGAGGTTAAGCACCCTTTCATGTTTTGTTTTGTTGTCTGTTTTTTGCTATTTGATTTCTGTACCTGTGAACTTCAGGTTTATATGATTTTCTATTTGGATTGTTTGTCTTTTCTTACAGATAGAAATTGTTGATACATTCTAGATATTATCTTTTCCCAGTGTGTGGCTTTTCTTTGTTATTTATGGTATACCGAAGTTTCCATTTTACTGAAGTCGAATTTGTCAACTTTTCTTCTGGGTTTGCACAGTTGGTGTCTTATTTAAGATATATTTCCCTACCCCAAAGTTGAAAAAATTTTCCATAGTTTCTTCTAAGAGTTTTACAGTTTTTTGTTTTTTTTTTTTTTCACATTTAGGAGTATAATCCATCTGGAATTTTATGTTTTTAATGTTGTTTTAGGTAGAAATCCAGGTTTTAATGTATAAATAACCTATTTTCCCAGCAGGAGTTACTGATCATTCATTCTTTTCTGATTTGTAGTGCCATCTTCTACACATAATTTCCTTTAAGCACAAGTCTGTGTTTGGGCTCTCTGTTCTGTTCCATTGGTCTCTTTGTCTCTGTGCCCATACCACACCTATAGTTTTTTTGTAAGCCTTGAGCCTGTAAGGCAAGTCTCTCACTTGTTCTTTTCCAAAATTGTTTTAGTCTTCTAAATGAATGTCAGAATCAGTTTGTTGAATTAAACAAGAACAGCAATTAAAAAAAAAACTCTGTGAGAGTTTTGGTTAAAAGTCTATTGAACTCATGGGTTAATTTGAGAAAATTTGACATCTTTATGATCCAACCTCTCTGTCTATGGACATGGTATAGCTAGTTCTCCATTTGTTTACATCTTTTAAAGTGCTTTATAGAGTAGTGCTACTTAAATGTGGTCTACAGAGTAGCAGTATTTTAATCACCTGGTTACCTACCCCAGGCCTACTGAATCATAGTCTCAAATCCATTAGATTTGTACTTCAAAGGAGACTTCTGTGCTGGGTGGGCCTTTGTGGTCTTTCCCAGTCTCATTGGGCTGAGGTTTCCTGGAAGGATGTCAGAGACTTGTATTGGACCTGCACATTTGGGGTTCTGCAGAACAGTTTCTGTGCTCTTTTAGAGAATTCACCCTGAAACTCCAGACTGGACAAGGTCTCTGTGTTAGTTACTGTTGTTTTTGCACCATTCATTTCCTTTGTAACATATATGGAAAACCTTAATTAAATCATTATTTGTATAATATTTGTTCGTAGCCTGTATTCCCCAATAGGCAATCATGAAGCGGCACCTTGTCTGGTTTTACTCATCATTGCCAGGCTATGGAAGGCCCTCTGTGAATATTTATAGACTAGATGGACGGATGAGGAAGGCAGACAGGCAGGCAATATGTCCTAGAAAATACTATATGAGAAGAGTCAAAGTGGGCTCTGGCAAGAACACATGCTGTCATTAAGCCTCTCACCCAACAGCATTGATTAATTCCAGGACCCCTTTGCAATATCCATATTATCCATTTATTTGGACACCAAGGGCAGGCAAGGGCAGTTTGACTGCATGCTCATCAGTATGGACCATCCTGCCAGCTACTTGGTTACTCAAGATGAAAGTTCATGAGAAAATGAACCCATGGTTCTAGTTTTCTATTCAGATTGCATCTCTGTCTGTATCATCCATACAGTGTTGAATCCTGTATCCTAAAAGTACTCAAATACTAGTGGGACACACACCCCTTCATACAATTATGCTTTTGTCAGACACCTCTAATTCTTCTTTACCCCTGAGCTGAGATTGGAATATAGAGATTGTGTGAGATGTTCATATCATCCTATGAAAAGCTTTTGAGCCATCTAAGTTTGAGAAGGGATGAAAGCTGTGTCCTTCAGTGAGAATATCCATTTACCTTTGCTGAACCCAAATTCCCAAACTTATTTTCCTATGGACTAAATTAGAATCCCTTCCCTCTCTCTGACCCTGCCCCAGTGTACTCCACCCCCTGAATGCTCGCATTCCGCTAAATGCAGTCTGGGAAACATTTTGCTAGGAATAAGTTCTTCCTTAAATTCAGCCAAAAGTTGATTTCTGGGGCTTTGATATAGCATACCTAATTGCTTTTCTGTGTGACAGCACTCTTCAAGTATTGGATCAAGCTTCCTCAAAAGCATTTCTTCATCTCTCTTTGTTGTTTCCTTGTGTGTCTGGTTTCATGGGATCCTGTTGTCCTTTTCATACTGCCTCCAACTCCAGGGAGTTCAGTGAAGGCCACATTGCTCAAAGTAGACTGCCTAGGCTGTCTGTTATTATAGTTCATTCATTTGACAAACATCTGAGCTCCTGGTACACATAAGAAAGACACGGTGTCTTATTTAGGGGAAGCAAAGATGGAAGATGAGGTTCTAGTCTCTGGAAGCAGAGGTGAGACAAGCCCACAGATAACCTTAAAATCATTTATAGGGCACTACTTCTCTGCCTGCATCTGGCCATGGCTTTGCCTTGGCCATGGGCACCTGGCCTGCCCACCCCCATCTTGAAGTGTCAGTTCCCTTTTCAGATGTAATTAAATTTGCTGGCTTAGCCCATGAGAGAAGCTCGGGCCCTAGATCAGTCCTGGATTCTGACTCTTATGGGGGGTCCTACAGGGCCAGGGCTGCTTGTCTTCCTAATGTCAGGCTTCAAAATTAGGCCACCCTCGTTTCCCTTAGTAACCCATTATGCATCTGGCATCCGTGCATTTATCTAAATGTGTCTGCAGTTCTAAATTTTGAGCCTGTACCCTCTGGTGGGATTGAATGCTATTTAGTGCATAACCAATATTGTGGCATCAGATGGACATTGATTCATCTTCACTTCCCTTTCTCAAGCCTCCAAGTCCTGTTAGTCCAGGGTTGGGGGAGCAACTCCGTTCTTGCTATGTATACAACCAAAATTGTTGTTGCGCAGCGTCCATTCAGCAAGCACATGTTGAGCACATATTGTGTGCTGGGCCCAAATTAAGCTCTAAGGGTATTCAGTTCTATTTATTCAGAAGGATGAGGCCTTATTTTTCTGGTTTATCTTCACTGGAGGAGTTTTGTTTT